TTTCGCGTCACAGCATTCAGGCGTCTGACTTGCAGGTTAGTGGGCTCTTGGATTTTCTGGAGAGAGACCACGTATACCATGAGCCAGACTTGAGTAAGAAGGGCATAGGCGAGGGCTCCTCGCAAGCTGACGAACATGTCGGCGATGAGTTTGGTGGCTTGGGCATCGGCCGCCGCTCCTGTAAGTTCTGGGCGTGTGATAGGACGTAGTTGTTTGATGTACTCGTCCTGATCCATGATCACATCCCCTTGGTCATGCTTAGTGTAGCGAACGGCACAGTTCGTATATGAGTGTTTGTTAAGCTTGCATTTGCCAAACACCTTTTCGACACGTTGTGCATAGTCGTCTATATGTTTCTCTAGGCCTGTCATAGTAATATCATCGACATGTTTGCCGTTAGCAAATCTTGGCTGAATTCAAATTCAGGATCATAACTTGTTGGTGCAAGGCCTATAGCTCGTGTGGTCGTACGAAGCTTGAGAGAGAACGCTCTTGGAGCGTCCTTTGTACCCGTTCCTGGCTTGAGGCACCTGAGGCAGTGTCGGCTTTCGTCATATGATGAAAAACCAGGCAGTGTACGAAGTACCTGGGCACTTCCCGGTGGAAGGGTGAAGCAAACCATGCGAGTTTCCTCGCCGATGGATGGGCAAGTTCCTCATAGGTCAAACCCTTGAGGAACGCTTTGTCGATATCCATGGATGCTAAGATCCACCCTGGATGGCATGCCGCCTCACTTGCCAGGAGTCTCTGGGACTGCCTTCGAGCGGTTCCCGAGAAGGTTTCCACATCAAAAGCCTCAGTGTCCATACATCCACAAAAGACAAGTCCGAGACGGATGGTTTTAACGTTCTCGGTACCTACCTTCACAAACTTCCACTTATATACATATCTGGATTTCATGATGTTGGAGGCTTTGGATAAATCATACATCTCAAAGCACCGGTTATCAAGCCAGATTTTGAGTTCAGTGTACAAAGCTTCACTAACCTCTTTCGGGTGTGCTGCTATATCGGCTTTGGTGAGTAGGCCGTCTTCCTTAACTACCACAGCACGTTTAGCAGCAGATGATACATATACTCTCATCGTTGCGACCATATCCGCGTCGAGCTGTGCAAGTTGAGTCTGATCCAACACTACCTGTGACATTTCTGATGTAAAACATAACTCAACATAGGGACCATATTCATCACTGTCAAGAGAGTAGTCCTCGTCAGGTTTGGTTGAGCATAGAGAGACTAGACAAGGCTCTTGTGGTTCAGGCTCGTCTCCGAGCGTTTCCGACCATACGACATCTTCTTCGTCCACAGATGCTGAAACCAAAACATATTGGTCGGGCAGCATGGTTGTTGGGACGCAGTAGAGAAAATCGTCGGTGATCGTCGTAGGATGAAGGTCCACACGTAACTCGTCGCACCACTCTTCCAGCATCATGGTTTCGATATTAGGTTCCTCGTTATCTTCATAGATTGTCGACAGACGGCCTTCACTTGGCGATGAAGCACCTGGAGTGTCTGGTGGAAGCCTGTTTCCAGGCGAATCGTGTTCTCCAGACGTGGTGCCCGGGTGCTGATACTTGGCCAGGTCGTCGTGAAACCCTAAGGAAGGAACATGTGAGGTCAAGCATTGGATAAGTCTGGAATGAGTGCTACCAGTGATTTGAGAAATGTTCAGGCCAGTGCCCACACACTCATAATAGTGGAAGGCTGGGCTGACATCGTTGTCGTAGTGGATCAGCGTAGACCCGGCGGCGTACTTTACTGCAGGTAGACTTGACACACTTTTGGCCAATCTGACTGCTACTACGTGTTCTACTCGGAAATAGTTTCGCACGAGATACCGTAGTGCAAGATGTACGCGCGGGTGAAACTTGCTGTCGTCTGAAAGATTGAGGTTTCCCTTGTAGTCTGGGATGTAGCCAAAGACTTTGGCGGGTTTCCCTGCGCCGAGGTGTGCCACATAGGTGAGGACTGTTTGCATGGCCATATTATCCATGCCAAGTTCCCGTGTGAGGAGACATTCAATGTACAGCGCGTGACGAGCATCAGGATACATCGCAATTACCTCACGAGATCCTGCCTTGACAACAATGCGTCCTCTTTCAGGCACGTTACGGATCACAGGGAATGGGCCGTTCCAGCCTCCATGATCGTCCTTAGTGGCAGTGGGTCGATGGTAGTCGACCAGATCCCCTGCTGAGTAAAGGCGAGCACCATCTGGAGCCGTGTTAGCCCTGAGAGCACGATTTGTCTTGGCCACAGCCGTGGCTTGAGTTATTGCTTCTAGGCTAACTTCCCTCACGGGACGTTCCCGTTCGTGTCCTGATGTCTCGGGCCCCTAGGGAAAGCCAAGGGTATCGAGGTCAGGAAGAAAGGAGGGCTGACGTCCAGTGTGTGCTTGGTAGGGCGATGCTCCGTTGTAAAATGTGAAGGCGTTAGTAACGAAGATGCCTTCAGCCAATACTCTAGTGAATACAACAGGGATGTTGTGTCTATTCAGCTCTTCCTCAATCATGTGGAGGACGCCCCTGAGAATACCGCTTCGTGACTCAATTGAAGTCGCGTGTTGGCCAGG